ATACACAATACAAAAAATAAGAATATATAATTCTATAACAATTTAAACCTTTGGTCATAATGTCATAAGAGAGAGAATTGTAGCTTAAATATTAACTTTTTTTGTCCCTAAATCTTCCTGGGAAGGAAAAGATTGAAACCTGAGCAATTAAAAACATCTAAAAATTCTCAGAAAAGACAATACGTCTAATCTTGGTCTTATCACTCTCTCCCAACATAAATTTCTGTGGATTATTACTCTCCAGCATCTACAGGCTTCTTTAGAAAAGGACACTCCCTGCCTGACACTTTCCTCATGCCAGATCTCAGCTAAAAGGTCAAACTAACTCAGGATTTGTTCAAATAATCCTGCTACAGAGCAGGGTTGCTTCACAGAGTAAGTTGATGGGGTAAGTTAACTCAGGATAACTGCTATCTGGCTTTCTGAAYCAAAAAACTCAGGATTTTCTGTAAAAAATATTTTACAACACTACTGAAACACAAATCAGGTTTTGTATAAAAATATATTAAATCTTTTGGTGAATCACTTTATCATCAGCAGGGACACCAGAGTAATTACATATAATCAAATAAACATGATAAAGACAAACTCAAAATAACAGCTTGAATCATGTTTTTACAGAAAATTTTTCAAAAAATTGTTCAAAAAATTTTCACCCTTTTATTAGAAAAGTAAGTTTCTCAGCAGCAAAAACAAAGTTATTTAACTAAAAGACATAAATTGTTCTGACTGATGAATGTTTAGATTTGTTCAACTATTTTAAAGTGTTCAAATAAYAACTTGTGTTGTTTACAGTGAAAGATGTCTCCTTTTGATGAAAACCTGAGGATCCATGAAGACAAGACGTTTGTTCCTGATTCTGGTTCTTACACCTTCTGGACCAGAACCTGAAATTTACCTGCAGAAAACAAAAATACAGATGAGTCAGTTCACACAATACAACTSAGGAATTTATTTTGTTTTCAGTTTATTTCTTCTTAGTCATTAAAATATTTGAGATGAAGAACATATGTTTAGTAAAAAAAGCAACCCAACAAACTAATGATTTTTATTTTATATTTTAAACCAGCTTAAAAAAAACTCAGAAATGTTTATATTCATGCAAAWTTCTTAAAGTGTAACCCTACAGTGAGGGAAATAAAATTTGTGACATTGGCTGTGTCTCAATTCGTGGGTTGCAGTCGACGTCGGACGCATTCGTCGGCCATTGACGTCACTCCCCTGTGCTGTAGGATATCCCAGTTCYCAGCTATTCTGAGGAACAATATTCTAAAACTGCTGTTATCTTTAGGCACAGATCACTGTAGACAGCTGGACCTCTGAGAGTCAACCTCTCTAATGCTACGTTCACACCAAACGCYTTTTGAGCAGCAAAAATTTTCCCAACGCCTCCAGTTGGAACTGCTACGTTCACACCGGGACAGAGACTAGACGCGCGTCTGAAGAGGGAGGAGTGTCTTGTTTTTTTTCTGGTCTGTCTTCGGCGGATGAAATAAAGATAAAATAAAGAAAATGGCTTTGCTTTATTTACTAAAGAGCAAACGAACTTTGCACACCGCAGATAATTTAGAAGCGGTTTGTTCGGTGAGTTTCACCACTCCAGGAGCTGTGAGCTGACGGACTATTTTTTTGTCCCGAGCCCAGTTTAACACCGKGGTCAGTTTAATGAGCTGCTGACCCACATCGGTGCTGATATCTCCAGTCAGAACACCAACTACAGATGGTTGATTTCAGCTCAAGATCTGCTGTCTGTCTGTTTGTGGGCAACATTCAGGAAACTGTCACGTGGAAAAATTWGTCTGATTGGTTGTGTAGCAGGAGCGTAAGGAAGCAGTTCCACACCAGAACTTTGAATCAATACTTCCTCATCCTCCCATATCTACAGAGAACAATGGCTTCCTCCACTGCCTCGCCCTTTGTCTCCACTGTCTACAAGTGCTAAAATAAACAGGACTTGCAACCTTCCATTGATTAAGCCCTGTTGTGAGATCCCTTTAAGTGTTCAAAATGGCCGTTTATCACAAAGGACCCACCATTTGCCAGYCTGAAAGTCTCCAGAAGTGGGTTTACAATCCACATCTAGACCCTAGGAGACTGTGTTCCCTGCTGAGATAATGCCCACGAACAATCTTCAAAGACATACTGTACCTAACATACAATCTCATTTATGGTCTTAGAGCGCCCCTAAAGGCTAGTCTCATAATCACATCATGAGCAAATTTTTTTTCTGGGTAAATTTCTGTTGTTTGGTTGTCTGATAAAAAAAGAAGAAAAAGAAACAATGTATTTTTCTATCATGACTCAATCACTGTGATAATATCTTGATTTAATCACTGTACAAGTAAACCCCCATCAATCTGTGTTGTTTAATCATTTTTAGCAGCATGAATGTGATGTCAGAGAAGCGGGTGACACCCCTTTGTGACTATCTCTCAGCCAATCAGAAGTTTGTAAAGTCAGGACAAGAGATAACATTTTTTTATTTGTGTAGAGAGTTTGAAAACAGCAGCGAGAGAGAGAGCGGACAAGGAGTTTCAGGTTCCTCCATTCCCTTCGGGGACATTTATTTTAATTATTTTTTTTTTTTTTATAGTGTAGGGACGAGATTTGTTCGGGAAACTGTACTTACCAGAACTTCAGTTCGATCCATCGGGACCCGAACCGACCTCCTCATCTCTAGCTAAAAGCCGACCCCAGACAGTCTCGGTGCGTCCAAGCTGTACCCACACGGGACCCCCTTTGAGACCGAGTGGCACCGGTGATTCATCTTTGCTCAGATCTCTCGGTACCCCGGGGCAGAACTGACTGGTTCGCATCGAAATGGTAGGAAAGAACAGCTTTCTAAGCGTTTGGTGGTGTGCTCAGCTGAAGTGGTGAGAGAGAGAGTGTTCTTGTGCTCAAAACGGACTCAGAGGGAAGAGCTGGCGAGTTAATTTCCCTTAGAATTCACGTCCCCTCCTGATAAATGAATTAACGCTTTCTTTTATTAATCTGGGAAGTTTTCACTCCTTTTGTTAGAATAGTTAATCTAGATAATAATTCTTCAGTTGTGCTTTAGGAAAGTTCATTTATTCTGCTAGGGTAGAAATAGGTTAGAATAAGTGATTCAGTAACAGATGATATGAGAGGTATTTGTCGGGTGATGAGTTCATGTTATTATTAAAGTCATAGAGATTATGATAATAATTGTGTTTCTGTCTGCCCAAATAACCTGTCTGTATTGTTATTTCTGAATCCACAAAATAGGGTATATTGTGAAATCTATGCTTTGTCTCCGCGTCTTTTACTCGTGTTTACGGTCATAAACTGAAAGTCCTTCAGTACATGAGATTAAGCCAAAATTACGAGATTAATTTCCTGTTATAATAACAGGTGGTGCCCCTTTTATTACATTAATAAATTATAAATAAAATTATAATTGAGCAACTTTTCATTAATTAAAATCCTCCTACAGTTGCCAGGACACGTTGAGCGGCGAAAGATCAGATTTTTGAACTCTGGCGTCAGCTGCTTTGGATGCAGCATGCATGGAAAATGCTCTGCTGCACCTTCCACGTTTCTTCTGCARCGCACTAAATGGACCTGACYCACCGCAAGAGCCCTGGAGGCGTGTCCACCACAGACTTTCCATGTAAACTGGCTGCTCCTGCAGATCAAAACACGTTCAGTGTGAACGTACTATAAGACGGCCTTTTTAGACCAAAGCTTCCTCATTTACAAGCCTAATTCCAGAAGAAATAACAGAATTCAATGATCTGCAAATCCTTTTCAGCCTATACTTAGCTGAATACACTACAAAGACAAGATGTTCAAACAGATAAACTTTTTTTTCTTTGCAAATATTCACTCATTTTGAATCTGCCCATTGAAAGTGTGTGGAGACCCCGACAACAGAGACCCCGGACTGTTGAGCAACTGAAGTTGTTCATCAAGCAAGAATAAAAGAATTCAGCTAAAAAGCTTCAACAATCAGTGTCCTCAGTTCACAAACARTTATTMTGTGTTGTTAAAGGAAAGCTGATGSAACACAGTGGTGAACATGTCCCAGCTTTATGGAACGTGATGCAGGCTTCAAATTCAAAAGGAGTGAATATTTATACAAAAACAAAGTTTATCAGTTTGAACATTAAATATCTTGTCTTTGTAGTGGATTCAATTAAATATTGGTTGAAAAGGATTTGTAAAGCATTGTATTGTTTTTATTTAGGTTTTACACAAAGTCACAACTTCACTGGAACAGGAGTTGTACAAATAAACCTAATATGTTGCAAAATGTTTTTCCAGCAGTAATTTATTGACTATTAGTTTTACAACATTTTATTATCATTATCCTAACTTTTTTAAGACATCGATGTGAAAATGACTTTTTTTCTAAAAATGCTACAATTTCTTAGTTCACACACTTAAAGGGGACCTATTATGCAAAATTCACTTTTTAAAGTTTTTTACTCAACTTTGGGTATGTACTTCTTAAAAAAAACAGTCCTAGGACCAAAAAATGCACTCACGGGCATATTTACTGTAAGTAAATGTATTTTTAATGTATATTAACGACAAGTTTTATACTTCCGTCATTTTGTGATGTCACAAGTCGTACGACAACCCACCTGAACCTGCGTTCAGCCCCTTACCTAGCAACCCCCGGGTGAGACTCCACCTCCTCAGTATAAAAAGCCGTCACGGTTGTTGTTGTGTAATGTGCAGCTCATTTCACAACAAGTCTTCTGATAGGGCAATGGGTAGAGTGTTGGACCAGAGAGTGGGAGACCAGGGTTTGAG